GCAGATGCTGGGGACAAAAATACGCTTAGTGGGGTCAGGGGAAGGATGGGGGTTGAGGACATGGCCAGGGGCATTTTCTCAGAGTAGGGGGGATGGGAATGGAGGGGGATAGGGGACGGAGAACCACTCCATGTCTGGCAGAGATGCAATCAGCAGGCCAGTCTGGTCGGAGATGTTCACTGCGGCTATGGCATTCACAGAAGCTAGCTGTAAACTGGAGCTCGATCAGTGAAGATCGCTCTCAACATGCGAGACCCGTTGAACTCCACTGCCACTCTCAAACACATGCATTCACTCGTGCCATCACGTCCTGGAGTGTGATGACATGGCAAAACACTTGTCTTTCTCAAGGCGCTCAACGTCCTGGAGTGTGATGGCATGGCAAAACACTTGTCTTTCTCAAGGCGCTCAAGTGCTATATCGAAAGAATCTTCCTCTGGCATGTCAGAAAGAAAGGATGAGTGAGATCATTCAACATTCTTGTTTGCGCTTCCGCTCTACGTTCAAGGGACGATTTCAAGGGTTGTGTGGAACAAGGGAAATGGTTACGGGTGTCTGAACCGCGAGCCCACCGCCGGCATCTGCGTTTGTCTGAACGATTTCCAATGATAAATGAATTGAAACAGCTGCAGGCAGGCCTACACATGGAAGGCGCAACCTCCATGTGCACAGCTGAAAGCATCAGTAGGACTGCGTCAAGCTGGTGGTTCAATTATATCTTTGCCTCGAGGGCTCCTACACGAAGAGACACTTCCCTTCCCCTTCTCGAAGGTCTGGGCAGTAAATCCCCTGGCAACCAGGGGCAATCAATGCTGCCTGGCCCCTTCTTTATATTTCTTTCCCTTTTTTTGCTGATGCTCAGGTTTCATTGAATGTCTCAGGGATGCTGGACCCAATTTCCAGCAGGCGCTGCTCCCCACCAATAGATGGAGCCTTCACTCCTGGATCCCACTTCAAGGGGATGCTCTTATCACCACTTCAAGTGTGCATACCGGGCTGGGAAGTTCCTCCCNCCCCCCCCCCCCCCCACAAACAAAAAATAAAGAACAAGTTTTTCTCAGGGTGTGGAACCAGAAATCAGAAGAGAACGGAACAGTTCACAAAAAGCCTGGAAGGAAAACGAAGCACAGAGGCGGAGAAATCAAACACTGAAATTGTTCAGACACACGTGGCCGAGAGGGACACCTGGTGGGTTTGTGGCATAGGTACCGGGGAGGAAGCATCTGCGATTGTTTTTGGTTCTCCACTCCATTCCAGCCAAAAAGAGCTGTGTTATGTGGTTGCAATTTTGAGCCAATTTTTGGCCCAAAATTGGGCCAACTCTGCAGTTGATACACAGTTTATGTTATGTGGTTCCAATTTTGGGCCAAATTTTGGCCCATTTCCTTCAAAAAAACAGAAGAGAAAAAGGGAAGGATCCCAGGAAGTGGTTGCAAAATGCCACCCTTCATTTCATGGCTCAACAGGCCGTTGACATTTGCGGATGGGAAATATGACTTCGGTACAACTGCGACGTTATATGAGTGCCTACAGCCCCCTCTAAATCAGAGATATTGCCTGAAAAGGGTGTGGATGTATGCGGGATATGAACACAAGACCCGGCCAAAGTACAGATGGTTTCTATTTTTGTTGGTTTCCAAGTTTGGTACCGGCCTCATCCAACCTGGGACCGATGTTGCCTGAAACGGGTGTGCATGTATGCGGAATTTGAACACGAAACCTGCCCCAAGTACAGATTGTTTCTATTTTTGTTGGTTATCAAGTTTGGTACTGGCCAGATCCAACCTAGGACCTTACGTAGCGACGCTGTTAGCCCGGACATAGGACCTAGATATGTAGAACTCTCTAGAGTCGAGCAGGGACTTATAGGTCCACGCAAATTTGATTCGACAAAAGCGTCGAGGTAGTATCAGTTGTTCACTCACTTACTTTTCTCATTTGTAAGTTTTGGAGAGACGGGAAGAAGCAGCCATGCTATTTTTTAGCGCCTGAAAGAGAGAGGCTGGGTGCAGCCTTGGACTGTGTTCTGGCCCCAGAACACTACTGTGCTGCTTTCAGTGCTGTTCAGGGGAGCTAGGTGCCCAAGTGGGAAACTTTGTTTTCTCCTTTTCACCAAGTACGCCGGAGTGATTCTCCAATACAAGTGTGGTGCAGAGTTCTCGATCAATCGTATTTTGCTTTCAATAAAGTTTCTATGAGTAATGATTGCTCAGATTGTTTGAAATCTGGGGCAAATTGCTTCACTGGTATCAGAGCAGGAACCACCCTGGTTAATGACTGAATGGTTGGGTCTGTCAAGCTGCTATGTCAGCATAAGTGCCATGTCGGCAAGTACACATCAACTACCCCTGGCCAGTTAATAACTACTTACTTCATGTTGCGCCTCCTATTCTCAAGGGGATGCTACCCATGCGCGGGAGAGAAATGGGAGGTTGAAGCGATGATTGCTCAGATTGTATGAAATCTGGGGCAAATGGCCACACTGGTATCAGAGCAGGAACCACCCTGGTTAATGACTGAATGATTGGGTCTGTCAAGCTGCCATGTCAGCATAAGTGCCATGTCGGGTCAGCATAAGTGCCATGTCGGCAAGTAACACATCAACTACCCCTGGCCAGTTAATAACTACTTACTTCATGTTGCGCCTCCTATTCTCAAGGGAATGCTACCCATGCACGGGAGAGAAATGGGAGGTTGAAGCGAAGCCACACCAGAGACAAAGGTGGAGGGAGCGTATGCTCACACACTTGGAGGCCAGAAGGAAACCCTATACAGATATCGACCCCTGAAAAGGAGGAGAGGGTCCCTAAAAAAAGAACTCCAAGATCACAGCGAGCACACGAATGAGCTTGCCACTCTGACGAAGAGGAAGGTGCTATGCAGGCAGAAATGAGGCGGGAAGAGGAGCAGATGAAGAAGTCCACCACTGAGTCAAAAGGGTTGCTGGCAAGTCAGGCGCCGATGTCAGCGATGGGTTGTCCGCCCTGTCCCCCCCCCGCGTGCACTCATGTGGACGAGCTGCAGTCAATGGCTGCCATTGAGCACACAATGAAACGCAGTTGCCGCTGAAGGGCAGCATGGCCACTATCAAGCACGCGCTGAGTGCACTTCCCATTGCATGTCAAGCCAACCTCCCCACACCGTACACGGTTTCCATCACCAAAAAGAAGGCACAGATTATTGGAGCGTACAGGTTGGAACGTAGAGGGGGGGGGGGGGGGATGAAGGACCTCATCTAAGCCAAAGTTGGAGCCGCTGGGCTAATTCAAGGGCAAGTTAGAAGACGACATTCACCACTGATTACAGGTTGTCAATGGACAGCTCGACTATTATGGGTTTAGGAAGTATTCCAACAGGGTACACTTCCCCTTCTCTGTTACTTCAGGATGGAGTGGAGTGGCCAGAGAGCGAAATATTGCAAGGAGTAGATGTGATGAAATACACCAGGCGTACCAGCAGGCCGCAGTTCTCTCAGAAACTGCGAGAGGGACACATAGCAGTCATCCATCAAGATCCGGCATGGACCCGTCCTAGCAAGCACAGCACACAGGCCTACCATGGCAGTGTCCAATATCTGGTCTGACAGTTTGACCAGATCCCACAGACCCCTGAGTTGAAAGACGAGAGAAGGCGCAGTCATGCTCACATTTACGAGGACTGTCCCTAAGAAGATCGCCAGACACGTGGGTTCCCCAGCACAACGAGCTGAAGGCCTACTGCAGAATGCTGGACGATCCAGTGACGTTAGATTCTGCACTGCAGTCTGCAGAGGGGACATCAGCAACCAGGTGGCGAGGAAAGGACAGCGAGGGGTTCTCACTCCAGTGCATGGGAGAACATTTAACACTTGTACCAGGACAGACACCAAACGCTTTGCTTGCCTCACAAAGTGTTTCCAATCATGACAACAAAGGTCTGGTGCATGCTTCAAAAGTAGCCTTTTGAATTTTTGCCAAACGCGATCCGGCAAGATCCAGCGAACAAGTTTTTTTTAACTCGTACCTTTCCTCAGCCGCAACATCTCCCAGAGTTAGTCGAGGCGCTCACCTTAGGATCTAACTCGTACATGCCAGTACGAATCTGATAGCCGCCAGTCAAGACCACCCCGCTCAATCGAATGAGATTGAACTGGTTCTGCTGCCACGTCATCCGTGCTTCTTAAACTGATATGCCACAATTCCTAGGCCACACATATTGATAGACAGTGTCAGCTTCGCTTCGTGCCTTCCAACTCTTTCTCTTAAACCACCAGTACATGCCAGCCATCGGCCGCGGGCCCCTTTCGGAGGCCACCCGCCATCGATTTATTTTATCGACGGCGTGCGAGCCTCCTAAATTTTAGGAGAGGCTCAATCCGATGCTCAACCTCAACTTGGCTGGAGCCATGTACTGGTGCTTTAATTGTTGGACCCCCAATCAAGTTGCCAATTCCATGGCTCACTAACTCTTAAGTCAATTCCGGTGTCGAACACGGCTTCCCCCTCGCCCACCTCTAAGTCGACTCCGGTGTCGAACGCGGCTCCCCCCCCCAAAAAAAAAAAATCCTTACTGCAGTGTAAGAGCTAAGGTAAAGTTGTGAAGGGAAGTACCGGGAGCCGCAGCGGCAGCAAGGGAAGGGAGGGCAAAGAGCAAAGCGGCCATTCGGAGAATCAGGACTCTTCAAGCGGTTAAGAGTAGGTGGTGAATCGTCTATATAGCTCGTCGATCTTGCCAAAAGGACAAGAGCAGGAGTTCCAAAGGAAGTATGGATAGAGAGAATGGAAGTCGCGCAATGTAATAGATGCGGCCGCTACGAGCATTCAGTCCGTTACTACAGAGCCCGAAATCTAGTAAAAGGGTGAGGCCAGCAGATGGCACAGACCCATCTGCGTATAGATTAGAGAGAACAGTTCCGCAAGTTGCACGGCGCGTGGTCCTCCCACTCCCTAATCTAGTTCGGCACGAGCTGCAAGGGCCTGCAACAAGGAGCCGAACAAGGCAGGCCGCAGCAGCGATCGCACCATTACTCAATTGGGAGAAGAGAGGTGTAATCAACATAGTTGTTTCGCCTGCACTGTCCCACTGCCTGAAACAGCAAAGCACAGCACAGCACAGCGAAAGGATGATTTGTCGGTGTGCTGCAGTCAAGAAGGCTATGGTAGAAGGGAAAACCACCGAAGAAGTCAACAAAAAAGAAAGCGTGACCCTAACTGCAAGGCAGTGAAGACGATGATGGACAACACCTCTTTAAAAAAAAAAAAAAAAAAAAAAAAAAAAAAAAAAAAAAAAAAAAAAAAAAGATTGACAACAGCGCTTCCAGAAATTACCTGTCAGGACGGAAGGCAATACAAAGACTACTACTACAGTTGGGAGTAAATGTTGAAAACCAGGACCTCCCTATTCCACTGGAGCTCAAGATCGTGAACAGCGAAGTGATTCAGATCATCATGCAAGTATCAAGGACATCGTATCATAGCTCAAAGATAGAGAAGCAGGGTCAGTCACGACCAACAAAGCTGAACACATAACCACGATGAGCGCGGTAATCATACAGTATGTGATAACAATCTCGAAAAGAAAACTTCGAAAAGATAGAACTTTAAGCTCACGTGGTAATCACAGCTAGGCCTTTTCCCGGATTCTGAGAATCTCAAGCCTGAGATCTGGATGACGGATGGAAAATGTCAGTCTCGTGATCAGAGGTGTTGGACCTGTTGATCATGGACTGGCCATCAGCATTACGCCGCCGCCTTCTTTGGGATGACAAAACCACAGATCTTTTCCACTGTTTAAAAAAAAAGAGAGAAAAAGAAAAGGACATCATAGTAATGTTTTTGTTTTTATATTGATGGCAAGCTACGTCAACTATCCTGTTCTCCTCGATTTCGGACAGTTTACCATTCGCGATGGTTCCTCGCCGGCGATGCTTGAGAGCCGCGGGGGCTGTTATCACTTGTGATACTTAGATGGTGCATGTGTCGGATTCAGCAGGACAGCATGTGCCCTACATCTGATGGTTGGTATCCAAAGGGAAGCAGCAAAGGACAAGTCGAAGAAGGTATGGATGTCTGCACCACCGTTCTTCGACACTATATGCACCAGCATTGCAACGAAGGACTCCAGCTAGACTGTGCGCAGATGAACATGCACTTTGCAGCAAAGTCGAGTGCAGGTGGTGCAGCAGTTTGTGAAGCATTACAAGGATCTACTAGAAGAGCCTACACGCATCGTGGCGAGAGAGGTCAACCATCCTATTCACGCATCGTGGAGAGAGAGGTCAAGCTTTTGGCTGAAGTGCCTACTAGAAGTGCCTACTA